TCCAACTCACGCCCACCACCGCTGACGATTATTTGAAACGGACCTGGCCCTCCCCTAGGTCCACTCAGCCTCAAAAGCGTAACTGCTGTCGTGTGTGAACATCGTCACTGGGGAGACAAAGGCGGCGGGGCATCGTGGATCCAAGTCCCGGGCGAAGCCGGGTCATGTGTATGTGTGTTTGTGTTTATGTGTATGTCTGTGTGTCTCTATGTATGTGTGTATGTATGTGTATGTATGTGTTTGTGTGTATGTGTGTGTGTATGTATGTGGGTTTTTTTTTATGTCTTTATGTGTATGTCTGCGTGTCTCTATGTATGTGTGTATGTACGTGTGTGCATGTGTTTGTGTGTATGTATGTGTGTGTCTATGTATGTGTGTGTCTATGTATGTGTGTGTATGTGTGTGTATGTATGTGTGTTATGTGTCTGTCTGTGTCTGCATGTATGTGTGTGTGTATTGTGTATGTGTTTGTGTGCATGTATGTGTGTGTTTGTGTGTATGTGTATGTCTGTGTGTATGTGTTTGTGTGTATGTGTGTGTATGTATGTGTGTGTATGTGTTTGTATGTGTTTGTGTGTTTACGCTCGCATTACACAAATGTGTTGCTGGTCTAAGGCGTTCCTCGCACAGCATTGCCGCTTTATTATTTCAGTCGTTTACTGCCTTACGCACCCTGAAAGTCGTGTGTGTCTGCAGCAAGCGCGTGTATGTGTACCTATGGACGCGCGCGCGTGTGTTGTGTAGGGGGAACGGTAGTGTAGTGCTTAGCGTGCTGTCTGTGTCTGTGTGTGTGTGTCTGTCTGTGTCTGTCTGTGTGTGTCTGCGTGTGTATTGTGTGTGTGTCTGTGTGTGTGCGCGTGTGTTGTGTAGGGGGAACGGTAGTGTAGTGCTTAGCGTGCTGCCTGTGTGTGTGTGTCTGTGTGTGTGTGTCTGTGTGTGTGGTGTGTGGGGAGCGGTAGTGTAGTGGTTAGCGTGCTGTCTGTGTGTGTGTGTCTGTGTGTCTGTGTGTGTGTGCGTGTGTGGTGTGTGGGGAGCGGTAGTGTAGTGGTTAGCGTGCTGTCTGTGTGTCTGTGTGTGTGTCTGTCTGTGTGTCTGTTTGTGTGTGTCTGTGTGTGTGTCTGTGTGTGTGCGCGTGTGTTGTGTAGGGGGAACGGTAGTGTAGTGCTTAGCGTGCTGCCTGTGTGTGTGTCTGTGTGTGTGTGTCTGTGTGTGTGTCTGTGTGTGTGTGTGTGGTGTGTGGGGAGCGGTAGTGTAGTGGTTAGCGTGCTGTCTGTGTCTGTGTGTGTGTGTCTGTGTGTGTGTCTGTGTGTGTGTGTGCGTGTGTGGTGTGTGGGGAGCGGTAGTGTAGTGGTTAGCGTGCTGTCTGTGTGTCTGTGTGTGTGTGTCTGTGTGTGTGTGTCTGTGTGTGTGTCTGTGTGTGTGTCTGTGTGTGTGTGTCTGTCTGTGTGTCTGTGTGTGTGCGCGTGTGTTGTGTAGGGGGAACGGTAGTGTAGTGCTTAGCGTGCTGCCTGTGTGTGTGTCTGTGTGTGTGTGTCTGTGTGTGTGTCTGTGTGTGTGTGTGTGGTGTGTGGGGAGCGGTAGTGTAGTGGTTAGCGTGCTGTCTGTGTCTGTGTGTGTGTCTGTGTGTGTGTCTGTGTGTGTGCGTGTGTGGTGTGTGGGGAGCGGTAGTGTAGTGGTTAGCGTGCTGTCTGTGTGTCTGTGTGTGTGTGTCTGTGTGTGTGTGTCTGTGTGTGTGTGTCTGTGTGTGTGCGTGTGTGGTGTGTAGGGGGAACGGTAGTGTAGTGCTTAGCGTGCTGCCTGTGTGTATGTCTGTGTGTGTGTGTCTGTGTGTGTGTGTCTGTGTGTGTGTCTGTGTGTGTGCGTGTGTGGTGTGTGGGGAGCGGTAGTGTAGTGGTTAGCGTGCTGTCTGTGTGTCTGTGTGTCTGTCTGTGTCTGTCTGTGTGTGTCTGCGTGTGTCTGTGTGTGTGTCTGTGTGTGTGTCTGTGCGTCTGTGTGTGTGAGGAGCGGTGGGTGTAGTGGTTAACGCTACGCTGCGCTACCAACCCGGCGAACCCAGTTCGATTTCCGCTCATGGCCACCACCGGTCAAGATTATTTGAACCTCCCCTAGGTCGAATCAGCCTCAAACGAGTAACTGGTGTGGAGTATTAACATCGCCACTGGGGAGACAAAGGCGGCCGGCCGTGGTGGATACAAGTCCCGGGCGAAGCCGGGTAGTACAGCTAGTCTATATATATAACATCGTGAATCTGTCTGTCTATCTGTGCCTGTGTGTCTCCGGACCATACGCACTTTCATTGGACGGCGGTTGCCCCTGGCAACGGCTAGCGACGCCTTCGCCGCTTTCATTGGACCTGGCAACGGCTAGCGACGCCTTCGCCAAGGGCTGCAGTTTCATTGGACGGCGGTTGCCCCTGCCAACCGCTAGCCACGCCTTCGCCACTTTCATAAGCTCCGTAATTAATTAAATAATAGCCATTACACAGTGTTGTTGGCGCGCTAGGGGGGGGGGGGGAAGGAACGCCACCCGTACCCTGCCTCTTCCACGTGGACAATTTTAGGCGAGGCCGCAGGCTTTGCACGCTACTAGGCCTCGACACCCACCACGCCACTCTGAGGTAAATTCATCAAAGTTTTTCCTACTCTTCACTACACCCCCACCACAATGTGTGCAATTAATATTACTTTTAAACCCAACGCGCCAACAATCGATTACTTAAATGTTCACTGTACAAATACTCATTAAGCTGGGTGAGCGTACTGACAGTCTATTATGTACACTGTAGCCTGCTTATTAAGCTCTGTGAGCGTACTGCCACTCTATCATGTAGACTCTAGCCTGCTTATGAAGCTGAGTGGGTGTACTGGCAGTCTATAATGTAGACTGTAGCCTGGTTATTATAATCGATTCTTTAAATGTTCTTTGTACAAATAGTCATTAAGCTGCTTTAGCGTACTGCCTGTCTATTATGTAGACTGCTGCCTGCTTATTCAGCTGGCTGGGTGTACTGCCAGTCTATCATGTACACATTAGCCTGGTTAGGAAGTAAAGTTAGTCAATTTGTAACACGTACGCTTTCGCAAACATTATTCATAAACAACGTTATTGCGTTTAGATCGCCTTATTTATTAAGGTGTTGTCACCCTTATCCACCACCCGACACGCCCAATCTGCACAAAATTGTCACGTTCATAAAAGACTAAGACTTGACTGCTTTAGCCCACCGGTGTGTTCAAGCGGAAAACCACAACAATTACCATTTCTCATGAAAAAACTACTGTATAATTATGTTTAAACCCCACGCGCCAATAATGGATTTGTTTAAATGTTCACTCAACAAATACTCATTAAGCTGGCTGAGCGTACTGCCACTCTAGAATGTACAGTGTAGCCTGGTTATATTTCTGGGTGGCTGCACTGACAGTCTATCACAGGGGTCCTCAAACTACGGCCCGCGGGCCACATGCGGCCTGCCGAGGACATTTATCCGGCCCGCCGGGTGTTTTTGCCGCCGCTGCCTGCCTGTTACTTTTTTTCTACATGAGAAGGACGGTCATTGGTGGGAGAGGGGGCGGAGTTTCCCCCAATCAGACTGCATTGATGGGCAGTGGAGTCTGTATGTCTCTGTGTGGGCAAAGTTATTGCTGGTATATTGTTTTTGTAGCGCTGTATATATATTGGTATTTTACTAATAGCAATTTTGACTCCCTAGGAAACAATGATGTCAAGAAAGAGAAAAATTGACTCGGAGTGTCGGATATTCAAAGAACAGTGGACTTATGATTACTTTTTCATGCAGTACAAGGAAAGAGCTGTGTGTCTGATATGCCAGAATATAGTGTCTGTGTTCAAAGAATATAATTTACGTCGACACTATGAAACTCAACATAAAGATAAATATGCTTGTTTGGTCGGAGAAGTGAGAAAAGATAAAATATTAAAACTGAAAAATACATTAACAACTCAGCAAAATACTTTTGTGAAGCAGAAGCAGCTAAATATTTCATCACTGCGAGCAAGTTTTCAAGTTGCCAAGCTAATAGCATGCACTGGCAGACCATTCGTGGAGGGAGAATTTGTTAAAGAATGCCTTCTTTCTGTTGCCAAAGAGATGTGTCCAGAGAAGGCCGATTTATTTAGTACAGTGAGTATTTTAGGACCTACAATTACACGGAGGATTGAAGAAATGGGAGACAATTTGCATCAGCATTTGCAAAACTCCACAAAAAAACTTTCCTATTTTTCCTTGGCACTCGACGAAAGCAATGATGTTCGTGATTCTGCACAACTTCAAATTTTTTATTCGTGCGACGAATGACTATTTCGAAGTCACAGAAGAGCTTGCTGCACTGCAAAGCATCAAAGGAACAACTACATGAGAGGATATCTTTCGATTTAAAGCTTTCGTGACTGCAGGGATTCATCTTCTTGGTTCTTTCGGTAAAGTCACATAGAAGGGAAGTAATAAAATAATTCTCACGACGTTTCGGCCACAACGCAAGCAGCCATCCTCAGGTCAAAACCAGGTCTGTTGGGGAGACAGCGTCTGAATGAAACAGCACACGAGCTTGGAGCATATATAAGCTGGGTTGGAAGCGGGGGAAAGAGCGCCTTGACAAAAGAATTTGCATATCAAGAGGAATTTAGCATATTTATGGGAAATGCAGGAATGTGATTAGTACTACATATGCCCGTGCTGCATATGTAGTACTAATAACATTCCTGCATTTCCCATAAATATGCTAAATTCCTCTTGATATGCAAATTATTTTGTCAAGGCGCTCTTTCCCCCGTTTCCAACCCAGCTTATATATGCTCCAAGCTCGTGTGCTGTTTCATTCAGACGCTGTCTCCCCGACAGACCTGGTTTTCACCTGAGGACGGCTGCTTGCGTTGTGGCCGAAACGTCGTGAGAATTATTTTATTATGTTTTATTTTTATTATTTTATTACTTCCCTTCTACGTGACTTTACCGAAAGAACCAAGAAGAGAGGATATCTATGAAAAGGTTTGCCAAACTGTGAATGGTTTGGAGCTGAACTGGGCTAAACTAGTCAGTGTGACAACTGATGGTGCTCCTAGCATGGTGGGGTCTAAGAAAGGAGTAATTGCTCGCATTAACCAAGAGATGGACAAACATAACCATTCTCAACCAATAGCCATACACTGCCTCATCCACCAACAAGCGCTGTGGAGTAAATCACTGAAGTGGGACTCGGTTATGAAATTTGTGGTATCTTGTGTTAACTTCATTAGAGCTCATGCACTAAACCACAATTTCAGGCATTTCTGTCTGAGCTAAATGTTGACTATGAAGATGTTCTGTATCACACAGAAGTCCGTTGGCTGAGTCGAGGGAGAGTTTTGAAACGTTTCTATGACTTACTTCCACAGATTACAGCTTTTCTGCTTAAAAAAAACAAAGAAGTACCAGAGCTCAATGATGCAGAATGGAAATGGCACCTTGCCTTTCTGACAGATGTAACAGAGCTACTCAACAGTTTCAATGTGCAACTTCAAGGAAAGGTGAAGCTCATCTGTGATATGCAATCACATGTCAAAGCATTTGAAGTAAAATTAGGCCTCCTCATCAAACAAGTGAAGGAGGAAAACTTCTGCCATCTCCCCACAACTCAAAATCTGTTAGCGGAAAAACCATTGGTTGCATTCCCAAACAAAACGTGTGGATTCACTGGAAAAATTGCAAAAGGAGTTCCAATTTGGATTTAAAGAGCTTCATCTCCATGAACAGGACATACAGCTTTTCCGTAACCCATTTTCTATTGACATTGAAAATGTGGATACAATTTACCAAATGGAACTGGCTGAACTGCAGAATTGTGACTCTGAAAGAGGCATTCAAGTCAAGCAGCCTTCATAATTTCTACGCATCTCTCCCCTCTGAGACATATCCTCATCTCAGGAACCATGCACTCAAAATGGCAACCATCTTTGGCAGCACTTATGTCTGTGAACAGACTTTTTCCAGAATGAAACATTTGAAATCTCCAACCAGATCTAGACTAATGGATGCACACTTGCATCACTTGTTACGACTAGCAGTGACAAATATGGAACCGGACATTGACCATCTCATTAGTCAAAAGCAGGCCCATAGTTCCCATTGAAATACTGGCAAGTTTGTTGATTTAACTTTTACTTGTTCTTCATTTTAAATATTGTATTTGTTCCCGTTTTGTTTCTTCACTTCAAAATAAGATATATGCAGTGTGCATAGGAATTTGTTCATAGTTTTTTTTTTAACTATAGTCCGGCCCTCCAACGGTCTGAGGGACAGTGAACTGGCCCTCTGTTTAAAAAGTTTGAGGACCCCTGGTCTATCATGTACACATTAGCCTGCTTCTTAAGTAAAGTGAGTCTTTTTGTAACACGTACGCTTTCGCAACCATTCTTCACAAATAACTTTATTGCCTTTCGCTCGCCTTAATTATTAATGTGTTGTAACCCTCCACCACCCCACACGGCCAATCAGTCAAAAAGTGTCCCGTTGATAAAACACTCATAAGTCTCTGCTTTGGCCCACCGGTGTGTACAAGCGTAAAACCACAACAATTCCCATTTCAGAGTACGTCCTTTCGCTGATGCTGGATGCAATTACCAGCCAAACGTCGTACTGTTCAGTTGTCTGTCCATCTGTGTACGATCGCTTGCGAGGGATTTGCCGGGAGGCACGTCCCGTGCCCCGCGATGGGAATAGGCATGTCACTGTGTATGTGTTTGTGTGTATGTATGTGTGTTTGTGTGTATGTGTGTGTCTGCGTGTATGTATGTGGTGGGGAGCGATAGTGTAGCGGTTAGCGCGCTGCGCTATGAACCTGGCGACCCGGGTTCGATTCCCGCTCACGGCTAACACCAGTGACGATTATCTGAACCGGTCCTGGGCCTCCCCTAGGTCGACTCAGCCTTAAATGAGTACCTGGTGCGGTGTGTAAACATCGCCACTAGGGAGACAGCGGCGGTCGGGCGTGGTGCTGGCCACCCACCCCCTCGTGTACTGTTCCGGCCTTCATAGGTGCTCGCTAACAGCACTTGCCCCTACAGTCTGTTCAGGCTATACGGGGGATCTTTGATCTTTGTCTTTGTATGTGTGTGTATGTGTGTGTATGTGTGTGTCTGCAGCAAGCGCGTGTCTGTGTACCTATGGACGCGCGCGCGTGTGTTGTGTAGGGGGAACGGTAGTGTAGTGGTTAGCGTGCTGTCTGTGTGTGTCTGTGTCTGTGCGTGTGTGGTGTGTGGGGAGCGGTAGTGTAGTGGTTAGCGTGGTGTCTGTGTGTGTGTCTGTGTGTGTGTCTGTGCGTGTGTGGTGTGTGAGGAGCGGTGGGTGTAGTGCTTAGCGCTACGCTGCGCTACCAACCCGGCGAACCCAGTTCGATTCCCGCTCACGGCCACCACCGGTGACGATTATTTGAACCTCCCCTAGGTCGACTCAGCCTCAAACGAGTAACTGGTGTGGCTTATTAACATCGGCACTGGGGAGACAAAGGCGGCCGGGCGTGGTGGATCCAAGTCCCGGGCGAAGCCGGGTCATGTGTATGTGTTTATGTGTATGTATGTGTGTGTATGCATTTGTGTGTGTGTATGTATTTGTGTGTGTGTGTGTGTATGTATGTGTATGTGGGTTTTTTTGTATGTGTTTATGTGTATGTCTGCATGTCTGTATGTATGTGTGTATGTACGTCTGTGGATGTGTGTGTGTGTCTATGTATTGTGTGTATGTGTTTCTGTGTATGTATCTGTGTGTATGTATGTGTGTTATGTGTCTGTCTGTGTGTCTGCATGTATGTGTGTGTATTGTCTATGTTTTTGTGTGTATGTATGTGTGTGTTTGTGTGTATGTGTATGTCTGTGTGTATGTATGTGTGTGTATGTGTGTGTATGTGTATGTGTGTGTATGTATGTGTGTGTATGTGTTTGTATGTGTTTGTGTGTTTACGCTCGCATTACACAAATGTGTTGCAGGTCTAAGGCGTTCCTCGCGCAGCATTGCCGCTTTCTTTTTTCAGTCGTTTACTGCCGTACGCACCCTGACAGTCGTGCGTGTCTGCAGCAAGCGCGTGTATGTGTACCTATGGACGCGCGCGCGTGTGTTGTGTAAGGGGAACGGTAGTGTAGTGCTTAGCGTGCTGTCTGTGTCTGTGTGTGTGTGTCTGTGTGTGTGTGTCTGTGTGTGTGTCTGTGTGTGGTGTGTGGGGAGCGGTAGTGTAGTGGTTAGCGTGCTGTCTGTGTCTGTGTGTCTGTGTGTGTGTCTGTGTGTGTGTCTGTGTGTGTGCGTGTGTGGTGTGTGGGGAGCGGTAGTATAGTGGTTAGCGTGCTGTCTGTGTGTCTGTGTGTGTGTGTCTGTCTGTGTGTGTCTGCGTGTGTCTGTGTGTGTGTCTGTGTGTGTGTCTGTGCGTGTGTGGTGTGTGAGGAGCGGTGGGTGTAGTGCTTAGCGCTACGCTGCGCTACCAACCCGGCGAACCCAGTTCGATTCCCGCTCACGGCCACCACCGGTGACGATTATTTGAACCTCCCCTAGGTCGACTCAGCCTCAAACGAGTAACTGGTGTGGCGTATTAACATCGCCACTGGGGAGACAAAAGGCGGCCGGCCGTGGTGGATACAAGTCCCGGGCGAAGCCGGGTAGTACAGCTAGTGGTTATATATGCATGGTAAGAAACATCAACATGGCAGATTCCAAAGAACACAGGATGAGATGTTACTATCCTTTGTGCAAGCACTTCCAAGAGTTCATGAACAGTGAGCCTGGTGAAATTTGGGGAGCGCATCGTCAGTAGTGACCCTTTGGTTCCTAGGGTGTTTCGGCCTTTCATACTATACACCCTCCCCAAAGGCGGCCAGCGACAGGGTGATCAATCCTACGCTTGCATCCCATTCCCAATTAGTCATAGGAGTTGCCTTGTTGTTGGTAGCCAACATCCCATGGGACTATGCATGGCAGGGGCGTCCTCCTCCCTGAGTCAAGTATTGTTGACTGCATACCTCCTGGCCCTCTCACTTTGGGGCCCAGCTGGGGTCTTTCCTCTTCATCCAGAGCCACTGACTGCTGCCTTCTGCCGCCTCCGATACAGCTTTGATTGCCGAACGCTGGCTCTGGCCCTTAATTCCCAGGTCTCTAAGCAGTCTGGTTGTAGATGTTGCCACAAAACCTCTGCAGCCCACCTCCACTGGTCGGACTTCTGTGTTCCAGCCATGATGCCGTGCTTCGGCAGCTAGATCGGCATAGCGCAGATGTTTTCGCTCATAAGCCTCATCTACTGAGTCCTCCTAAAATTGCTTTGTTACCAATACTGCCACAAGAATTATACATTTATTGTACTTTGAACAAATAAAACATATATTCACCAGTAAAAGTAGCTTTTAAGTACACGTTGAATGTACGCAGCATAAATCCATAATCTTGAGCGGGCATCCGAGTAATTTTTTTTAAAATTTGACCGCTTTTTTGGCATTATTGTCACAGACGACATCCACTGATGGGGACGGAGAGAAATCGGCTCGTGTGCTGGTGCACTGGAATATTTAATCGCAGGATAACGAGAGACGGAAATGGGTTTGCAAGGTCTTCATCTAGCAGTGGATTGACCATGGCTAATAAGGATTGTGAGCACTTGCTTAATGTGAAATGTACCATCGCAATTATTTGTTCATTGTTTGCACTTGTGTTCAACCAATGTCATGCGCACTTAATAGTGTAATACATTTTGCGTGAATACATAATGGTATGTATCATATACATGCTCTATCAGAAACAAAGATTTGCTTGCTGGCTGGATTCCTGCCTAGATTCCTGGATGGCTGGAAGGCTGGGCGAAAGTGAGTGTGCCCGCTAGGGACATCACCGTGCACGTCTGCGCAATGACATCTGCCGCATCCCGCCACGTTGAGCCGGGTTTGTGCGTGCTCGTGTCGTGTTGCCTGCCCTCCACCCTGGCTGCGTGGGTCCTGCGCAAATGCACGGGCTATATGCTCTCTTCCTCTATTAAACATAAGTCTTGCCAGCTGGCTGGAGGAGGGACGGGCAGTCGCATCGAAATAAACAACCCGCCTACACATTGCAATGCCACGCATATCGCACGATTTTCACAATGTTGCATAACTTTTCCGAGTTGCGAGGTGTCAAGATTTTAAATGGAAGTTCCATTTCCGTTAGTTTTTTTCGTTTATTTTGAAATTGTGGCTTTGCACCGGGTGTGTGGTTGTGTACTAATATTAGCACCATGCATGTGGCTGAATCATCACTCTTCGCTCTCTTCTTCCATGGTCTCGTCGGCAGTAATGGACTGCATCCGGTTCGGCATGCTCTGGGTGAGGTACGTCTTGGTGTATACAGGGCAGCCCTGGCTCATCAGGATGGCCTACAACAAGATCACATCACACCATTAGTTCATAGTTGACTTGTTCAAAAAGGGTTGCACAAGCAAGTGTATAAATAAGAGCTTGCCATATTAGCGTTGGCCACGTACGGTGCAAAAGAAGTTTGACATAGGAACCAGTTCTCAATTGTTATCAAAGATAAATGTCACGCTTGTTTTACCGTAGGGCAATGCAGATCAGTATTGAGATCACATTGTTCGTATGTTGCGTATATTGTCACTAATATCCTTCCCTAATTCTAGAGCTTATTTTGACAATGTTATGGCTCTGAAATGTATATTTTAATGTAGGGTAACTGCAGGTTTCAATTTGCTTTCCTTCATTTAGCTGATGCCTTTGTAGTCAAGAACATGTCGTCAAAAGCAATATAACGTTGAGTCCCTCCCGGAGCATTTGGCATCCTAACCCCTTCCTATTTCTGTAAACTTGTTCATCCACTGCTAACACTCGTCCCTGATATAAGTCGAGCTGAACATAAACCCTAGCTAAACTTTATAATAATTGAGCTATTATTAAACCACAATTGTGGACAGTGAAGCAAAATCACTTGGTGTCCTATGCACCCAACTTGTTTGATCCTCCTTTACCAACCCACACTGACTGGTGTGGTTAAGTATAGTTAACCCATTCCAATGATGTACGTGTATGTATATGTACGTCATCAGTTTTTCTTCTTGTTTCGTTCCAATGACGTGCACGTAAAGTAAAATAACTATCGGTAACGAGACTCCCACAAGGCCATGTGGGAGGGCGAGTGGCACAGTTTAGCGCCAGCTATAGAGTGCGGTCATGTCGCTACAGTTCTCTGCGGTGAGTACAATGCGTTTGAAAACAATGACGCTCTGCCTCTTGAAATAAAATTTAAGCTAACCGCTTGCGCGTTCCGATGATTAGCGGTGAACGGGACCCACCCTGCAACTTGCAGATGTCTCGGAAAGGGTTACGTTTCGTTAAGTAACCCCCACAAACCGCATGGTGTGCAGTGGTGCTCATGCAACGCTGGATTAACAACAGTGCAATAGCAAACCACAGCTCTCTGCTGCAGTGTCTTCATCTTGGAATTAACTAAGTACAGTGTTGCCGTCTTAGCAAACAATTTCCTCAATAACTTTGTTTTGAGAATGTATGATTTTTGTTGCCGATAGAACAAGTATTTAAGTGTTTTTTTTCCAAAATGTAGATCAAAAAACAAACCAGGGTTTGTTTAAATCATCCTGTATGATGCTAATATCTGTGAGGTCGTGTAAATAGCCTCACCGTTTTCTCCTCCTTGCCCGGTGGATTGCGTAGGAAGAAGCAGAGCGGAGCAAAGAGGATGTTGATGATGCCGATGATGACCATTAGCCAGGGGAAGCCCAACTCTTTGGCTATGGCTCCTCCAGCCGAGGGACCTGCAGCAAGACCACATGACTCGTTTACGAGACCTCATCGCCCCAATAGTCCGTGCGCCTCACCAGCTCCCCAATCTCGGACCAACTTCAAGATCACACCGTTTGTTAATATTCTCCATGGGCTCGGCCCTGCCTACCGCACACCCCCCCTCTCATCTCCCTCTACTCTGGTCCATGGACTCTCCTGTCTTTCCCCTCTCATCTCACTCTACTCTCCTCCATGCACTCTCCTACCTCTCCCCTCTCATCTCACTCCACTCCCCTCTACACACTCTCCCCTCTCATCTCGCTCCCCTCCACGCACTCTCCTACCTCCCCCCTCTCATCTCACTCTACTCCCCTCCATGCACTCCCCTACCTCTCCCCTCTCATCTCACTCCACTCCCCTCCACGCACTCTCCTGCCTCTCCCCTCTCATCTCACTCTACTCTCCTCCACGCACTCTCCTACCTCTCCCCTCTCATCTCACTCTACTCTCGTCCATGCACTCCCCTACCTCTCCCCTCTCATCTCACTCTACTCCCCTCCACGCACTCCCCTACCTCTCCCCTCTCATCTCACTCTACTCTCGTCCATGCACTCCCCTACCTCTCCCCTCTCATCTCACTCCCCTCCACGCACTCTCCTGCCTCTCCCCTCTCATCTCACTCTACTCTCCTCCACGCACTCCCCTACCTCTCCCCTCTCATCTCACTCTACTCTCGTCCATGCACTCTCCTGCCTCTCCCCTCTCATCTCACTCCACTCCCCTCCAGGCACTCTCCCCTCTCATCTCACTCTACTCTCCTCCACGCACTCTCCTACCTCTCCCCTCTCATCTCACTCCCCTCCACGCACTCTCCTGCCTCTCCCCTCTCATCTCACTCTACTCTCCTCCATGCACTCTCCTGCCTCTCCCCTCTCATCTCACTCTACTCTCCTCCACGCACTCTCCTGCCTCTCCCCTCTCATCTCACTCTACTCTCGTCCATGCACTCTCCTGGCTCTCCCTCAGCACTCCAATCCTCTTCACACTCTGCTCAAGCAACCTTCATTTGGTTGGAGATCTCTCATTCCCCACACTCCCGATCGTGTGGAACTCCCCCTCGCCATGCGTGGTGGTGACTCCATGAGCCTGTTCAATTCCAGGATCAAGACCTTCCTTTTTGTCCCTTTGAAATGACTGACTGTACGAAAAAATGTGCAGACTCTTTCTGTACAGCGGCTCGAGATGCGGTCACATTTCGACGCTATACAAATCCAACAAAACCTTTTATTTTGCCAGGTCAGGCTCGCTGAACTATATGGCTCTTTTTTCAGACGTGACCTGGCTGCAAATGGTATCTCAACGAAGTGGCTTATCACGCGTAAACTTTTCACAGCCCAACACTCTTATTAAACGCATGCAAAGGAGCAGAAGGCGAGGACGGGCGCCGGAACGTCGAGCTACGATTGGCCTGTGACGGCGTGGCTTGTGCTGCCGCGGGACCCGCCTAGCGCGAAGCCGAGGCAGAAGGCAACGTCCGCGATGGCGTAGACGCTGCCGTAGACGGAGACGTGGCGCAGGTCAACCAGGTAGCCCATGATGGGCATCATGGAACAGTCCACCATGCCTGCATGCGCCCGCAAAAACACGCACCGCCCGCGATGTTGTGGTGGCATGGCCGAGCGGTCGCGTATCTTTAGCACACATGAATGTATGGTATGTTGAACTTTTGTCGCACCGTACATAGCTAATCGTGCTAATCGAAGGTGCCGGGGAACGACAACAAACTAAACCAAAACAAACCCGTGCACTTGTTGCAGAGGTTGGCACTTCGAACTGTGCGGCAGCCACCCTGCTCAATGATGTGCAGGTGTGTTAACCATGAATACGCGTCGGCTGCTTTGGCAGTGCAGTTAAAGATCCGGCAGCGTTATTCAGAAATAGGCCGTGTTTGCCGGTGTCATTTCATAAAAAGAGTCCTATGACTCGGTGGCATTCCTGGATTTTAAAAAAATGGCTAATATACATTGTCATGAAATGCGATTTAGTATAAGCATGCTGGAGTAAAAGAGATAGGGTAAGAAACACGGAAATAAGGTTCGATCACATGAGGTGGTTGGAGGAAAACCGATTTGGCAATATGGTTATTTGCATGGCAGATGGACAATAAGAAGTGATAGACCAAGGGAGAGATGCAAAGATGGTATCCTTGAGAAAAGAAGAGCACGGGGAGAGTGATAATGGCAAAATATGGTAAGATCAGAAAACATGAAGGAAATATGTCTGCCAATCTGTGCCAGGAAGACCGATGACTGATAGATACTCGTATTTGTACAAGGAAACTTACCCAGCGCAAAACCAATTGCAAAATTCGGAGCAATCAAGGCATAAATGTTATTAGCCAGTGGTACCTGCAAAACAGTTTTGAAAACAAAGATCATGTGACATGTCTCGAACCCACAATCTAATGGGTGTTGTGAATACTCGTCCTGAGAAGAGGCACATTTAAGAGACAAACAGCATGAACCTTAAGGCGGTACCCCGGCTCTCGCATAATGTCCGTGATGCAGTCATTTTTAGTCTGTTGATAGTCGGCGATGCGGCAATCGACTCATCTCGACGAGCTGTACACGATGCACCGCTACGGTGCGTACGAGCGTTCAGGGTTCCGGCGCAATCGTCCTCGCTGCGTTTCGACATCGCGGAGTGTGGCACTGATTTCGGATTGATTGGTACCCCAGCCGCGGAGTTAAGTACACCCCTGGAAAAATAGTGTCCCAGAAATAAAATATTTAATTGCCTCGGCCATTTTGTATTATTTGGTACCCCGGGGTACCGCCATAAGGATGATATATATATGTACTATAAAAATTATTAAAATAAAACATTTACATATTATCAGTGGTCCTCATACCATCCAGGACACGGCTGAATTCAACATCGACTCACGACGCCGTTTCTCCTAAACTGCTCCGAGCGTCATGAAGTAATGAACTAGAAAAACTGTGACATGAATGTCTCTGCAGCTTTGCTTTTATACAAAATACCAAGCGGCCTCTCTCGTGCTTTCGTGGTATGAAATATCGGGATTTTTTTTTTAATCTTCATATTAAGTTCGCTTGCGTGCTTGCTTGCTTGCTTACGACCGTGCAAACCTTTCGGTCGTTTTTTAACCCACTTCCCGTGATCCAATCGAGCTGACATTTTGCACACAGACTCGTTGTGCGAGACAATTAATGTTCGTGAAAATTTTTTTCCAAAATTTTACACTGTTTAGGGAAAACAAATTAAATATTTAATTACCAATTGTTTAATACTGGCAGACAATCATCTGACCCATAGGTGGCAGCCATCTCAAGCCAGAGGACGAGAGGACTCTAGCCGCCACGCATATTAAGGATTTATAGTGAAAAACTTTGTTTTTACGGGTTATACTTGTTACTTCTTCTGAAAACCCGTGATTGTGTCAAAGTTCAATGAAGAACGCAATATTCAGTCGCAGCTGGTGGTGCGATGATGACTCACACAGCTCATGCTCACGCCAACCAACACCATCCCCAGGACTGAGCACAGCCACCTGTGAACAGTTTACGGTAAGAAGAAGAAAAAACACACTTACATTTTAAAAAGATGTAATGTTTCGCTTCATTTAAAATTGACTTTGTAAAAAAGCAGTTTCGCGATCGTCTAATTGTATGCTGTTAAGAACGTTCGAGCCTTGAGGGGTCATGGGTCTATCCCCCGCAGTCAGTTTACCGAGTGACAATGATGGGTATTGAACCGTCTTTGGCGAAAAAGACAATGTGAGCGGTAATTTCAGTCGCCAATATTTTCACGTGTGTGTGTGTGTGTGACCTGCTGGATTACACGATTCGGTTTCGAAGCCGGCTCGAAGTGTCTTCAGCATCTACCACATTTTTAAGCCGTTACGGAGAAATGTCACGGAAAATTAAAATTCATGTTATTACAGACTTCAGCCTACCCGAACTGTCTGCAAACCCTTCATCAGTCGAGGCTTCTCGGACAAATAGACACTGGAGCGCATGGACACCACTCCCCAAACACCGGTGGCTATTACTCCATCAGCGGTTGTGCCACCACTGCATCTAGACGACAGAATAAGCTTATGCAAGTTCAACTCGTGTCCTTCGTATGATTTAGACCGTGGTGCACATCAGAGGGCAGTGCAGAATAATTTTTTTTTACTGTGCATCTACGCTCCAAATTGTGTGCTCCTCACCTTCACCGACGCGCACTGACCAGCACCGTGATGTGTGGTGAAATAACCCACAATACCCGCGCGGTGACAAGGCGAGGCCCTCGTCCAGCAGTGGATTGACCAAAGCGCTGCAAATTGTACGTAGGCATTAAGATATCCACCTATAGACGGCAGTGTGCCGCGCCGTGATCGTTAGAGGTCGCGTGCGTGAGTGGGAGGAAAACGTCACCTTCCTATGCGATGAGCGAGTGGCCCAAAGATGTTTGTTGCGATCAGATATGAAATGCTGGCTGGGAGGAAAGCCATGCCTGGGAGGAAAGAACATAAATGTCCTACAATTTCCACATCATTCTGTCGTATGGCGAGGGGTTGATCAGCAATGCTTATTTGCTGCTTTCCAGGTTGGGCAGCGAGGCGGTGGACGGCTTCAGGAATAGCCTGGCGAATCTCTGAAATGCCAAATAGCCCCACTGCTTGAACCATGACCATTGCCATGTTCCCAAAAATAAATGGTGAAACTTTACCACCACCTTTTTATTTTGTTCAGGCCAAACTCTGGCCTGCGGTTTGCAAAAAATGCGAACTCTGGCATAGAGTTGTGGGGAAACCGTTGCGCTAAACAATCTGACAACCATAAATGTCGATTTACAGCTTTCGTGACTGCAGGGATTCATCTTCTTGGTTCTTTCGGTAAAGTCACGTAGAATGGAAATCATAAAATAATGAAAATAAAACATAATAAAATAATTCTCAAGACGTTTCGGCCACAACGCAAGCAGCCGCCGTCAGGTGGAGAGCAGGTCTGTCGAGTAGACAGAGTCTACTCGACAGACCTGCTCTCCGAAACGTCGTGAGAATTATTTTATTATGTTTTATTTTTATTATTTTTTTATTTCCAATCTGACAGCCGTAGACCCAGCAACCTGTGATGCACGTGCACGTGCCCACGCACGCACACATTGGCGAGTAAATCTCGGAGGGTTGTTTCGTGATCGGCTCGGTGGACTCGTTGAGAACGTGACCGTGCGCACACTCACCGATCTGCCACTTGGAGGGACACATGGTTTCCATCATCCAGATGGGCAGCAGCGGCTCCATCATGCCTATTCCCATGTTCCCAAAACAGATGGCGCCTGCAGCGAACAAATTCAATGAGCGCAACGGTGATTATAAATAAATAACCAGCGCCGTTTGCACAGCCGACAAGGGCGGTGTGCGAAGCATGAATGTTCCTGTGCCTAATATACGCCCCTTAAGCAAACACCGGTTAGCATAATTTACTTCTGAAGAACAGATACCAGTGCACATTATAGACGAGCTTAGCTCTGGTGTATATGACATTGCAGTTGGCTTATGAGTGGACACAAAAGTATGATTCGGCTGCAAATTCTGCAAGCTTCTGGTTTAGGCCCTGGACTGTATAGACGCTGTTAAGTGAGCACTTGAAAGGGGTCTGTTGCATAAACGTTGGGTTGGGTTGCTGGCACACCCACATCCCTCTTTATCCGATCTACGCACCACAGCTTCCTCAACACCCTTTCTCTTTTGAAGAAGGACCTGAAACAGGGTTTGAAAACCATAATAACAAGAAGAGACATTTTTTTTTATTCTGCAAGCCCCAGTGCCGTGTGAATACAAGGTGGTGGTCTTTAATAAATAACTGTCACGAAGCAGTCCCGAAAGAGCTGCACCCGGCTTCAGAGCCACAGGGTGCCAACTCCTGGTCTCAAACATATTTACTTCACGCAATCGTTATCAAAGTACGTGTGCGCACGTACTGTTCCTTCGTTAGTCTCTCCTTGCCGTGTTGGTCATATGGGAGCGGTTTTACCATATTTAAAACAAAACTACACTATTTTTTTTATTTTACCAGGTAAGGCCCACTGAGCTATACGGCTCTTTTATCAGAAGCAACCTGGCCACAAATGAAAACTCAACAAAGTGGCTTATCACGTGGAAATATACAGCAGCCCAATGCTGGAAACGCATGTTTCTAAATGTGGAGGGAAAACAGGAGGACACGGAGAAAAATCCACGCGACCAAGGGGGAGAAAATGCAAACTACAAATTATACAGGAATCAGGGTCAGAATCAAACCCACGACCTCCTGTATACCAGGCAAGGTAGTTTCCATCTCGCCACCGTAGCGCCACGCTGGTCAGCGAATGCTTGTGAGGGCCCAGGTGTGGCCGAGGTCCCGGTTCAGATATCACTCGCCACAGCCACAGGTGTGAGCCATGGCCAGGAGTCAAATTCGGGTGGCCAGGTTCATAGGCTCAGTATGTGAGCCACTGCGAAGGCTCCCTCATCATCATCATCACCATCGTGTTACCACTGATGTATTGAAAGGTGGTTGTTTTCATGATTGTCGTCGTTATCGGTTGCTTATGACGTAATGCAACCATTAACCCCCCTCCCCCCAACTACGCGCAAGGGCACACAAGTGACGTCATCATATCTCCCTATATTTAAGGAACGAAACAGCAGGATTTATCCACAAATCTGGCTGTTGCCTGATGAAGCTCGTTGTAATTACTGGCGAAACGTCGTACTCAGATTGGAAATGTTGTGGCTTTGCTCTCCAACACATCGGTTTGCTGTACTCGTAACGAATTGGCATGTTCTGTTTACGTGACAAAGCGTGTTGGGTGGTTGCAGGTTTAACGACAAATTAATATATTTACGCGATCTAACCCAAAAAAAAACTGTTATGGATACTAATAACGTATTTAAATAAATGTATCCATCATTACAAAAGTCGCACACAAACGAGGCCCTGTATGCCTATTGTAATTGAAACAAGGTGTTATTCTGCAGCCAATTCTGCCAGGTTAGGGTTTAGCCCCTGGACTGTACAGATGCTGTCAGTGAGCACTTAATAGGGGTCTCTGTTGTGTAAACGTAGGGTTGGGTTACTGGCACGCCCACACTCCACAGCTTCCTTAACCCGTCCGCTTCTTGTGTGCACAGGGGTGATGGTGAGGCCGCAGTATGCCAGCGCTGTCTTGCAAAAAAATACTCATAATATGCGTGCGGTATCTTAGCGTGCAGCTTTTTGTTCAACAAAGTAGTTGGTGTTGCTGCTGCTGCGATGACAGTGGTGCACACGCACAACATTTATATAACTAAACACATTCATCAAAAACCCAGTGGTCTTAAAAGGAATATATTTATATTAGGTGATGTTTTGGGCAATGGTCCTTCTTTACAGCACATAAATAGAGAGGCCAGAGAGCTAGAGTGGATAATACGGGTTGGAGACGGCACTTAACACACTGGTGCCTGATGAAAATTACATTACAAACAATGTTTTCAGATTTTTAGTTTCACCTTGGTAAGTTAACGATTAATTAACAGTTGCGATTACATAACAGGTGTTTGTTCAGGCATGCTGCAAACAGCATTATCTTGCATACCGGTACATATTTTTTGCATAATATTAATTAAAAATACGCAACGAGATGACTCCTGCTCTGTCGCAAAAATGGGCGTAATTTATTTCATGCAAATAAATCAGATTTATACATATTGAAACACAATAAAAAAATATTCGATAAATATTCAATGCAATATATGAGTTGCACTTCATGGGCACAATCGTAAGCGCAACAAATTGCCAGCGTTGGACGAAGGCCTCCCCCACGAGACTCGCTGACAGAGTGGCAGCCAAAGGGGGGCAAGCGTGCCCCTGCGAGCTACGTCCCCGCCGAAGAGATGGAGCAACGAAATTGGCTCGTGCGGCAGAGGTCGCAAACGGGTTTTGATTCCTTACCCGTACCCGGCCGCACCAGGGTCGCAAACGGGTACCCGTACCCGTACCCGGCTGTACCCGTACCCTATCCCCGTACCCGGCCGGGTACGGGTATCGGGTACCTGATTGCGACCTCTGGGATGAAGCCATGTTGCAGGCGCGGGTGGGTTGATTCTAGGAACTTGAATTGTGAGAAGAGACAAGACGATGGGAAATGAGTGACAAACAGTTACTCACCAGTGACTCACGGTCTACCCATACCCGGCCGCACCAGGGTCGCAAACGGGTACCCGTACCCATACCTGGCCGGGTATCAGGTAGGGTACGGGTATCGGGTACCCGGTTGCGACCTCTGTTGTGCGGGGGGGGGGCTCAGAAGGAGTGTTGCGTCGCGTAACCGTGAGACGTGGTGACGGCTTACCGGAGGCCTTCGTCCAACAGTGGATTGATCGGCGGCTGGCTGATAATGAGGATGAAGAACCACTGCGTGATATTTTTCAGAGCGATGTTCTTACCTGCGGCGATCAGGATGTAAGGGTCTTGCAGCAGAGTGAGAAGAGAGGATCCCTTCTGGCTCTGCCGGGGGTGAGATTAAAACGGTCATCGACGCAGAGAGAGAAAGTGAGCGCGTGTCCCGCTGCCCTACCGTCCGCGACTCCGGAGGAGTGAGCCTGCCAGAGAAGACATTCCCCAGCGGAGGGCAGCGACGAAATCAGCTCGTGTGCGGAATCAGCGAGATAATGTTGTTGCATCGCGAGAGCACGAAAGATGGCGGTAAACGGCCGTCATCCAGCAGTGGATTGTTCGCGGCTGTCGAACTGCGCAGACAGCAGCGGTAATCTAGGTGGATGAACGCAGATAATAGGATTCGCAATATAGCACCCCCCCCCCCTCCACATCATCACGGATACGAGGAGTTTCACTGAACTGTACTTTTACCCTGGCGAACAGCTGAGCAATACATCGAACGGAGCCGTGTCACTGTTTTTGACTGTTTTCTACATCGCCCAAGAGATCTCATTCAACCAGAAGTCTACGGTTATGAATAAATAACACGATATCACTGCTTGTGATCATAACAATGTTTTCGATGAATATCGTGCCATTTGCATCTCTCAATCGCCGATGGACCACATGCACGTTGGGAGGCAGCCGAGTGCTGCCAGCTGGTGCAAATAATTGCCCAAGCTCTGCAATCCTATATATGTAAGATGTACTCGGCCAATGAATGACACGTGGGAGGAAACTGAAGCACCTGGATAAGATGCATGCGTGAATTTGAATGTTGAATGAATCCCCTAAAACCAATTCACCTGAACATATTCAATATATCTAGATATCGGGTTGGGCCTAGTTGTCCTGCACTTTGAAGGGAGAGAATACATGGGGTTGGTAAGGCAGGCGATGACAGTGCAGCAAATGATTGTTGACTCCATCAGTGGGGAAGTTAGAATGTTGCCTCTTTGTACGCGTGGTATTTCTCTGGTTTTCTCCGGCACGAAACCAAACAATCGTAAACGTGGTTGGCCAAACATCTCTCCTTAAAAAGAGCCCTGAGACTGGGCAAGTCTTTCCTGGGTAAATGTAGTGCATCATCGTTGCCATGCCGTTTTTAGTTTTTCCTCTCGGCAAACCAGGTGTGCATTGATGCACCGATATAAGTATCTAGAAGGAAATAAGGTCTGCGACTCAACGAGTCGGTAACGCCAGCGACCGAGAGAAGATCCAAGGGCGGGACATTGATTTGGCCTCATCGTCGCTAAAGAACTGACGTGCAACGCAGACGGCGACGCGAGATGAAGTTGCTCGAAATTATTCGCAGCAAAGAAGCTTCTCTGAGCGCAGTACCGATAGGTAACGTGACCTTTCCAGTTGACGTTACAGCTGCCCCAGGGCTACTGGGGGGGGGGGGGGGTAAAGAGGGGTGGGAAGGCTGCCACCCTGAACTCACAGCTACCCCCCCCCCATGCCCCCCGATTCGTGTGAACTGCTCCAGACAATCGCGGCTGCGGGGCAGCCCGCTACCAAAGGGTACCCGCCTCAACAAAATGTCAGCGGGGTGCCCCGGGCGAGAGCAGTAGCTCCCCATTGTGGGTGAGCGAGTGAGATCGTCGGGAGAGATGCAAAGCAGTTTGCTGGCTGACCTTCTACTGCTGTGCGCTCGCTGGTCCGAGGCTGGATAAAGTAAAGGCAATGCATCGGCGATGCGCACCCAAGCACCCACCCACCCCATCCACTCATGCCACCCACAATCTGTTATTTTTTAAAATATACTCAGCCACCAATCCACCCACCTACCCACCCGCCCGCCCGCCCGTGCCAGTGATGGTCTCTTTTGACAATCATCCTTGGGATCTAAAGAGAACGAGAGAAAGATACCAACGATGCTCATTGGATAAATTACACGTGCCCAAAGTGGTCAAGGTGAATATGAACTCGGTGCCGTCTCATCCTGCCTGCCCTTCACCGCGTGTTTTTTGTTTACTCTCTGGCGTATGTCTCGAGGAAGCCGCTGTGGAAAAGGGCAATGGTTTTGTAGTCCGTGCATGATTTCCACATCTCTGTTGGAGCTGCACACCAGCTGTAAAGATCTGTTGTCGGTAATCAGCATAGTGCGCAAGTTCGACCGAAGCGTTCGTATTAACTGTGCAAATGTCATGGAGAACATTGAAACGACACGTGTGCTCGCCATTCCATTCGGTGTCACAATAAATCACCGCGGCCCCAATCCACTGCTCAGCAACTGTGCAAAGGCCAAATCTAATACTCTGACCGTCGAGACTGATGTTAAATATAATTCATTTTCCCATTCTTTGTCAACACCCATTGTATTATTATTGTTGTTGTTCTGTATTCTCCACAATGTGAGCCGTATACATTATTTGGTGAAGCTGCTTCTCTGTTAGCACAAATAACAACGAAAACCTCAGCTTCCCTCAATAACACTGTGGCCTTAAAAACATATTTATATATATAAAGATAATAGGTTGTCTTTCGTTCAATCACCTTTCTTCGTAGCACATTCAATTGAAATGCTGCAGAGAGCGAGAATGGACAATAAGAGTTGGAGAATGCACTTCACACACAGGGGCCTGATGACAATTACAGTAACAATGTTTTCTCAATATTAGGCTTACATTGGCATATTAATAGTTACCGAATAGCGATTACATAAACGGGTTTTTTTTTGTTCAGTCTTGCTAAAGTGTGTGCAATGGAGTGTCACTCCGCGTAATAATAAAGCAGACAGCGTCGTTGAGCAAGATGGAACATGTTGTTTGAATAATGAATGTTTTAAATTTCACAAAGAGATGGTCGCTTCTTCATCGTACATTATGTGCTATGAAGAAAGACAATCGCTTGAAACGTCACCTTATTATATCCATTTTTTCCCCAGTGTTATTGACCGATTTGTTGAGTTGTTGATATAAGTATGTGTTCAATTCCACATTCGTGGGATTACTGCATCACACAGAGAACTTGATAAAATCACAAAACGAAGTGTCACCAGGGCTGTTATAGTTGCTGATTGTGCGTACAAAACATGTCGATAACGAGTGGTAAAATGCTGCACTGGTTCATCGATTAATATTAACTCTCTCTGCTCATGATACAAGAATAATATCGCTCGTGCAAACATCAATATTTATGTTGTTCTGTCTATGTTGAATGTCATGGGTTCACGTGATTCCTGCAGCTGCTACGTTTACAGCAATGTAAAAATAACATCGATTCCTCGAGGTGGCCGGGTAGCTCAGAGGTCAGAGGTCAGAGCGCTGCATCTGGATATGATCATGTGGTTCAGCTCTGAGAATAAACGATCCATCAGTTTGAATGATAATGGGACGAACGTTATTGTGTGGCGGGTCGGGTGGGAAAGTGCTGCCGCCTAATGTGAGGGGATCTCAAACGTAGTTCTGTTGTCACCGCTTCCCGTGGGCTGTTCTCGAACACGGTGGGGTGGGGCAGGGGGGGGTGTTGCACTTCTCTGTGAACGGTCGGAGTGAAATGTCTGTCTCATGACTTTACACCGAGTGCACAATCAGGATACAATTGGGGGGGGGAAGACCAGAACATGATAGAAAGCCATCGACTCTTGAATCGACATGCTACCCTGAATCTCGACAGTTCATTGAACAGCACTGCGGGTACACCTATATTGGTGCGCAAAAATTAAAAGGAGTTGCATCGTTCTTGGTGATCTGTGAGAGCGGAATCGCCACGGTAAGCCACTCGCTCTCGTTGGCCACACGTGGCACACACCGCTGTATCAGCGGCGGCTTGGAGGCATGTGGGTTTCAATGTGATTGTGCATGTCAGGCATGGGTGTGGAGGGCAGCCGAGGGTTCACTCACCTCGGCTATTGCTTTGGGCTTTTGCAGAACGCACAGCTGTAAGGCTGGGGATGAACCAATTCAGAGTGCACGTTAATACACAGAGCTGCGTTCATTACAATTTTGTGATGCTGCATTGGCAGCAGCGGTACAAGACTACAAAACTCACAAAAAACTCGACACGTTAGTCAATAACACTGCCCGTAAGGGAACATTTTAAAGTTGTATGTAATAGGCAACGTTTCCATCAATTGCTCTTCCTCATGGCGGAGAGAGATCAATGTCTCTGCTTACGAAAGTTTTTTGACGAATGCGTCGAGCTTGTTGCAATGAAATGTGGTACGATGCGCTACCCACATATTCCGCTTTGGTCGTGCAAACCCACAGGACCCATTGCGAAGTGCACATTGGCGATTGGCAACATTCGCTATCGCTCGTCATCATTGCTAGTGGCCTTCGCCTGCGTTAGATCAGTCACATTCCACGGGAGGTGAAGTGCTCTGGTCGCCGACGACGAGCAGGGTCACAGATGGTGCACGCCGCCCGCCGTGGTTCTCGCGTGGAACCTTTCGCCTCGCCGTGCCCTCCGAGTGAAAGCGATCGACCTACGGGGGCCGTCGTGTTTTTTTTTTATGGCCCCAGATTCAACGACTTCATCATTTACATCATTCTGCTCATAAGCGTAGGCTTGACAATGTTTACAAAAAAAACTTGCAACTCACTAGGCCTAGTGCAGGGGTTGGCAAAATCAAAATAACAAGAAGAGACTTCTTTTTTTCTCTCGAATTCGGTACAAAACTCAATATTTCAAGAGCCGCAATGCACGTGAATGCATGCACACGTGACGTGATGAAGCAGTAACGTAAAGAGGCACATGCGGGCTCCGCAGCCGCAGGTTGCCCACTCCTGCCCTAATGGAACATCGTCAGGTATCCCGTAGCTCGGCTACGATCGTCCGCACGTACGAGACGTGCAGGTTTCAATGCGAGATCCGAGGCTCGGTCGAGAAGCGACGATTCACGTCCCATCCCATCGTGCTGCCGCGTTCATTGCCTTCTCCTGGTTGCCGATCGTCAGCGATTGAGCTGAACATCCTTGCGCTGTTGACCCTGTGTTTGTATTTTTTTCCCGAATTCCATGCTCAGGGCTTAATTTCTCACTCGATCTTTTCCACGTCGCTGGTAGACTGCTGTAGGCACGCGACTCGCAGATATCGACATCGCGAGAGGGAAACTGGACGTGGTGCACTGGGTCCCAAAAATGTCAGAATTGATTCTAGATTTGAAGCTTTCGTGACTGCAAGGATTCATATTCTTAGGTTTTTTCGGTAAAGTCACGTAGGTGACTTTACCGAACTTTACGGAAAAAACCTAAAAACCTAAGAATATGTCAGAATTGGCTTAAATGAAGTCACGACTATGATACACTGGGATCGGACAGTTGCTGCACAGTTATCTCCTTCGAGGGATATAGATTCCATTTTCTGCATAAATATGACCACTGCTCCCCCGATTGAGCAACTTCTGTGAAGTTTACGGATAGTGGTCACATGACTACCTGAGGTTGTGGTGGGGGGCGGGGGGGGGGCAATCTTCGTTGCGTGTGCGATGCGCCGGGGCGCTTTACCTCCATCGAACAGCGCCAGCACCGCGAGCACCAGGAATGGCGCCGTCTTGCTGACGAAGGCGTACATCACACTGCCGAAGGGCGGCCCCACTGCAAACGCACAAAGGTAGCTGTCGTCATTGGCGAAATGCGAGCGCTACGCAGTCCGTCTGTCGTCTGGTCGTGGAACGACGACTAAGGGTGCGCATCGATTTATCGACGGCAATAATTTTCAAAAGGCTCACAATGCGACACTTTGCAATATTTTGCATCACGACTGATGTCTTATTGTTTGTATCATCAACATGCAGCGGCCATGGTCTATCCACTGCTGGATTAATGTCTCCGCATGCCTGTGGCCACCGCTCTCGGTGAGCTGATCTCACTGTGCCATCTCTGCGGTGGTCGTCCTCTCATTTTCTCCTTTGGCTGTCATTCCATCACCAGTCTTGGCCATCAATCATCATCATCATCTTCCCTTCTAAGCCCAGAAACTTTTCTCGGCATTCGGTACGATGTCTCCGAGCGAGCTTGCGTCCCCCATTATCCATGCGCTCATCTTTCTTTCTCTCGGCCCTGTGCTTCCAATCGATGTTTCGTTTTCTAGCAGCACGTGATGTATGTACCGTGTGTTGAACTCCGTTCGCTCCATACGTGGCCAACCGTGCTAACCGTGTGCACTGTGTTACTCCAGGCTGTGTGCGTGCGACTCCTTACCCAGCACCCCCAAGGCCAGACCGCTCAGAGCGATGCCCATAGCATTGCCTCTCTCCTCGTCATCCGGGTACACACTTGCCAGCAGACCCATGCCTGCAAAGACAAAGATACCCTGTGAAGCCTACATCGACTGTCGTGGCAAGTGCTGTGAGTGAGCGCCGATGATGGCCAGCACGGGGCAACGGCGGGGAGTTGTGACCAGCAGTGCACCCGGTCGGCTTTATTTCCTCGGTGCAGATGTTCACACACCACACCAGGAAATCATTTAAGGCCGAGTCTCACCTAGGGGAGACCCAGGACCGGTTTGAATATCACTCGCCGGTGATGTTAGCCGTGGCCGGGAATGGAGTTCGGTTTGTCAGGTTCACTGAACAGTGTACTAACCGCTGCACCGCCACTCCTCATACCATCCACCAAGGCTGAATGCCATCAGGATTTGTCCAGACTGGTGATCCGGAAAATATCTCCACAACAGGCACACCACATCCAGTATACTTCCGCTCACTATGGCCGTGGCGACTAGTCACAGGCCGCCTCCAATCTCTTCGCGACAACAAGTTGCAAAGCTGCACACGGAGCAAAGTGGTCACCATTGTTATTTTGCTACTGACAATTTGTAGACTTAACACCGGCCAATAATCGGCTTTACACTTGCCATTTTGCTTGTCACGATGCAATTAAATGGTACCTTGCTCCACAGCCACTGTCTGCCAGGAAGCCAGAACTACAATTTTACCACGGTACGATTGCTGGTATAGGTTTTTTTCAATTGCGCCTACCGTGTTCTAAACTTAAATTGTCATTATTCCGGGTTTAAAATTTGACATCGATGGCTCATATTGTAACAATGCTAATGGTGAAATATTTTTTTAAAATATTAACGTGTTTCCCATTGGATTACAGCAACATTCTAGTTTATATAATGTTAATTTGTAATATATATTTTTAAAAAATCAGATCTGACCAATGTACTCATAGCACATTCAGTCATGTCCTGCGATGCATTTCTATTCGTTGTAAGAACGACGATGCCGTCAGAAAAACAAATCGCAGGAAATTGTCTTAACAACTTAACAAAGAAGGCCCCAAAGTTTGCCCCAAGCTAGGTGTGAGAGAGAGAAAAAATAAAACAAATATTACGTGCAGCAAGTTCTGTAAATAAATGAATATATATGTTGCTTGGACACAACTGGAAAAGCCATCAGAGGATATGTACCACCTAAGGCAATTAGTTATTGAAGGCTGGCTGGGATCATAAATTAAAAGTGGAAGAAAGCATGCCACTGGGAAAATGTTGGCATGTGGTTGGAATCATTGGACCAGCGTTATATAGACACACAAAGACAAAGATCCCCCGTATAGCCTTAACAGACTGGTGGGGAAAGTGCCGTTAGTGAGCACCTATGAAGGCCGGCACGGCACATGAGTGGGTGGGTGGCCAAAACCACGTACGGCCGCCTTTGTTTCCCAAGTGGCGATGTTTACACATCGCACGAGGTACCAATTTTAGGCTGAGTCGACCTAGGGGAAGACCAGGACCGGTTCAGATAATCTTCACCGGTGTTGGCCTTGAGCGGAAATCGAACACACAGACGCGAGCCGGACCGTTGATTCATTTTTCTTACACACCGGCCACGGAGGAGCACGAAGAGCCAATGCCTTGCAGAGACCTGGCAAACACCAGCAGCCCATAGCTCTCGGCGAACGCAAACACTGGGGGAGCGACAGAGAAGGCAGGTGACGGCGGCGGCGACCGCCAAGTTAACGTGACGAGCCAACGACGCGCGGCGCTTGCCCAGAGGCGTTCGCCGAATGCACAAAGGGGTCTTCGTCACGCAGCGGCTGCTGACTCGAGATGCGTTTAAAACGCGTCTTGAGATTCGCTCACGCGTCTCGACGACGTCGCGCAGATCCTCACCGTCGCTTTGGTGAATTGCCTCGTGTGACCCACCCCCACCCCCCATGCCTGTTTTTCCAATTGTGATGTCACAAGGGTGGGCCACGGGCTGCCACGCTGCCGCCAGCGAGCTGAGCGAGGCGTCGCAAAGACAAACACAGCTGTTTACACCGGATAGGCCGCACACGTGGACAAGGGGGGTTGGGGAGGGGGGGCAACAAATAAAAGCCCCCTAAGTACTGGGTTTCAGCCGATGGTTAAGTGCCTTAATTGAACACAATTTAATTACTGCGCCCTCCTCAACAATAATTATAATGCAGGCCAATTACGACCGTGCATTTTAAGAAATTAAATTGTATCCTACCGGCTGCACACTGCTATGAGACTTATCCAATTGCAAAAAAAATTAAGATCATAATCTACGCAGAATGTATTTATCGAGCTAAGATTTAAATGTAATTATTATTTCTAATGACATTTGTAGTGCTTTTCGGCATGACCCAGTTTATATGAGATGAATACATATCATTGCATTATTTCCTGCATTTAACGCCAATTGAATTCCCTCTGAGTTTTGATTTCAAAGGCGCTTAATATTTATTGGTCCTCTTCCAAGTCGCGTGGCTAGCATGGACGAGTAGAACATGTACCCTCCACAGTCGAGGGCCTCTCTGGAGTTCCCTCTATGGCGCTACGGAGGCGACATGTTAACGACCTCGCGCCCGGTATCAATGAGGTAGTGGGTTTGATCGACATCCTGATGCCAGCTGTATATTTGGAGTTTGCGTGTCTCTCTCTCCCCGTCGTCGTGTGGATTTTTCTCCGAGTCCTCCGGTTTTTCCCTCCACATTTAGAATCAACATCACGCGTTTAGAGTATTATTTGGCTGCTGTAGATTCCCACGTGATAAGCCACTTCGTTGAGCTATCATTTGTGGCCAGGTCACTTCTGCAAAATAGCTAAATAGCTCAGTGGGCCTTACCTGGTAAAATATAAACAGTTAAATAGCTCTTCCACCAACAGTGTTGTTAACAACTCATTGCAGGGCTGCACCTTTGTTTATTATCGGTTATATTTATTTCAAATAGCACTTGTATTGTGAATATTTAATATCTATTTCCTCTCTCACATAGGCAGCGCTTATCAATGGCCCTACTTCCAGATTCGCTGTCTTGCCCTAAGCTCTTGTAAACAAAAAAAAATCAAGGCTCAAAGGAAAATAGTTCCCTTAAAATGTTTATCCGTGGCCATTTACATTGTTATAAAATGTATGCGTCGTGCATTTAACACAGGGGAATCGTCAACCTACAGACACACGCCACGTGCAACACGTTCTACTCTTTTTGGACTCCTCTGCAATTGGGATACGTTGGAGAGCTGACGAGTAGAATACCCGGTGGATAGAGCGTGGCGGGATCAATCCAAAGCATTGCATTAATTCTAGATTTAAAGCTTTCGTGACTGCAAGGATTCATATTCTTAGGTTTTTTGCCTCCGAAACGTCGTAATTTATTATTTTATTATTATTGCTATTATTTTTATTTATTATTATACATTTTTTACCTACGTGACTTTACCGAAAAAACCTAAGAGTACAAATCATTGCAACTGTGCGAATGTAGAGGCGCAACCCTGCAAGTGCTCGCTCGCGCCACCGCTGGCGGATGGGTCTCCACTCGAGAGAAGCTCTAGCGAGCCCCTCTCGGGGGAGTTCTTTGTTCTAAATTTCCACGTTGGCCGGCCGTCTTGGAATACATGTCGCACTGAGCTTGCCCTTAAAAGACGAAGCTTATTAATGTTGCAATCTCTGCTGTTGCCGCAAACACATGGTACAGTGCCGCATTGTACTGTACTACCAAACGTTTGCTGTCGCACAGTTGGCAAAAATGTCAGCAGTGATATGAAGGATTACGTTATCGTACCGACAGACGCGATGTCCGAAGATGTGATGATCTTATCCGTGCAATGGAAAACAGGAGGAGAAACGATAACTTACTTATCGTAGATATGAACATGATGATGAACCCAGCAAAGAGAGGTATCTGGTAGCCAACCCTGCAACAAGACAAAAACCATCATCATCATCATCCACAGCAGCAGCAGCCATCATCAGTCCACTGCTGGACGAATGCTTTTTCAAGCTGTCGTCATCTTTCACGATCCCACGATGTAACAAAAAAAACGCATTGTGACCAAGCAACTTAGAATCTTCTGGAATGATGACCCTATATGAATGCATTGCTCTCATTTGTATTCATGTTTGCAACGCAGCCGAGGACAGTTGCACAAATTGGGCAACCTCAGAACGAGCGATGACACGTTTTTAGCGATGCCGTGTGTTTAGCGATGTTGCATGTTTAGCGATGTTGCATGTTTAGCGATGTTGCATGTTTAGCGATGTTGTATGTTTAGCGATGTTGTATGTTTAGCGATGTTGTATGTTTAGCGATGTTGTATGTTTAGCGATGTTGCATGTTTAGCGATGTTGCATGTTTAGCGATGTTGCATGTTTAGCGATGCTGCATGTTTAGCGATGTTGTATGTTTAGCGATGTTGCATGTTTAGTGATGTTGCATGTTTAGCGATGTTGCATGTTTAGCGATGTATGTTTAGCGATGTTGTATGTTTAGCGATGTTGTATGTTTAGCGATGCTGCATGTTTAGCGATGTTGCATGTTTAGCGATGTTGCATGTTTAGCGATGTTGCATGTTTAGCGATGTTGTATGTTTAGCGATGTTGCATGTTTAGCGATGTTGTATGTTTAGCGATGTTGCATGTTTAGCGATGTTGTATGTTTAGCGATGTTGTATGTTTAGCGATGTTGCATGTTTAGCGATGTTGTATGTTTAGCGATGTTGTATGTTTAGCGATGTTGTATGTTTAGCGATGTTGTATGTTTAGCGATGCTGTATGTTTAGCGATGCTGCATGTTTAGCGATGTTGTATGTTTAGCGATGTTGTATGTTTAGCGATGTTGCATGTTTAGCGATGTTGCATGTTTAGCGATGTTGCATGTTTAGCGATGTTGCATGTTTAGCGATGTTGCATGTTTAGCGATGTTGCATGTTTAGCGATGTTGTATGTTTAGCGATGTTGCATGTTTAGCGATGTTGCATGTTTAGCGATGTTGTATGTTTAGCGATGTTGCATGTTTAGCGATGTTGTATGTTTAGCGATGTTGTATGTTTAGCGATGTTGTATGTTTAGCGATGTTGTATGTTTAGCGATGCTGCATGGAATGAAACGTGGGAGCCCGACTGTCCGCCTATCTCCCACCACCGTCTCCCCCTTTACATCCCGGTGCCTGGACCCAGGCGCAGTCGCACCACCTGCACACTCGATAGCGACGCCACGATTCACGGCCACCAATTCATCTCATCCTCATAATACGTACGGGCGGTCACTTTATTGTTTAAACACAAATTATCTGGCCCGTCTATGGACTAAGCCGCTGGTTTGGCGCGTACGCAAAACCGAATGCGCCGCCATCGTCCCAGCCTGGGTGAAGAAGTCGGTTCGCCAGAGGAAGTCCGGCACCGCGGCACCGCGTTTCGCTTTTCCCCCTCATCGACAAGGGCGGCCAAATAATAGTTTTACGTCCGGATTAAAGTCATAACTAGTCGAGATACTATACCCAGGGCCTCGCAGTGAACGGCTTGACGACGTAAGAGATTGGAGCCACAAAGATGTGGCACTTCTTCAGCATATTGGCACCAGACGGAAGTGGAAACAAATCACGAAATGTGCAGTGGACACCTACGGGCTCTCTGCCCGTGGATGTTGATAATGACCATGCCCAGGTAATATGCCACTTTGTGACGATGCTAAGGACTAGCCATAGATTTAAAGTGTCTGAAATGTACGCCTGAAATCGTGCAACTGCACCCTCACCCCCCCCCCTCCACTAAACTTAACTTGAAAGAGAAAGACAACAAAGCGTTGGTTATAACCTCCGATTAGCACGGTTGGCTACGTACGCTACGAAAGAAGTTCAACGTACGTACATAAACATTTATGTTGTCTGCAAACGCTGAAACAAATGTTTGCTGCACTAATTGCTCCATAAAGTGTCTGCAAGCGCCAGAGCGGGTTCACTGAGAGAGAAGTCCAATGAGCGATGGAATAAGTATAACCCGTAAAAACAAAGTTTTTCACTATAAATCCTTTATATGCGTGGCAGCGAACTTAATATAAAGGATTTAAAAATATATTCGCCTGTGGAGGACGCGGGGATCGATTCCGCGACCTTTGGCATGGGAAGCGAGGGCGCTACCAACTGCGCTACTCCGCCACGGCCTGTGGAGGAGTTACGCTCTGGGCTCTTACACTCTGACGTTCAGCCAAAGCCATGAATGCGTTCTATTTGAATATATGTAAAATATTTTTTTTTTGCCTGGCACAACGAGTTTGTGTGGAAAATGTCAGCTCGATTGGATCACGGGAAGTGGGTTAAAAAACGACCGAAAGATTTGCACGGTCCTAAGCAAGCAAGCAAGCACGCAAGCACGCGAACTTAATATAAAGGATTTAAAAAATACCTTGATTTTGACGTCCATTTATTGTCATATCAAGTTGCAAGTTTATTGCGTTTAACCGGGTGAGAACTCAAAGAGACCAGGACGAGTCTCATTGCCAAGAGTGCCCTGGGGTGCGTTAGACTGCCAGGAAGGGGACAATGATTTCTGGCGAGTGTAACATCTCCAATTGAGTGATCGGCGGTGTAATCTTCAAACACGGCAAGTTTTTGTTCGCCCTGGCGAATGTCGTCAGGAGTTCTTCAGCGGACGGCGAGCGGTAATAACCGGGGCGGCCGCTGGATTCCAACCGTGAACCTCTGCAACTGGCGTCGATCGCGCCGCCTCAGGGCGACACCACCCGCCCTGTCACCAGACGACGAAAGTGGAAATCTTTCTGGAGCCACGCCCAGGTGCTTTTTGTTTTCAGCTGGGAAACCAATTGATCGCCGGTGGCGCGGTATGAGGCCCGCCTTTCCGAAAATCTCTACCTAGATGCTTAACGTTGCAGATCCAGCAAAAGAACGGCATGGCCTCTCCATGTCTCACAGACGTCGGACTGAACTTAACCACTGCAGTGTACAAACAGAATCCGTCTAGCGACCTCAGACACCATCAAATGGGTTTTCAAACTCAAAATACACGGTTATGATAATCTGCATTCAAATTGCACCATTATTCCAAAGACTCCAAGTGGCTTGCTGCTCACGAGTTTTGCTGAACTCCACTTCCAAAACACATCGTTTAGCATCACGAGAGAAAATAAGGAGGCTGATTGCCTTACACTATTTTATCGCTATATGAAAAGATGAATAAAAATGATTCGCTTCCAATATCTGACAACATTCTGGGTGACTTGTTCACAGACCTATGGATACAATGGTACACTTACCACCTCAAAACGAATTTCTAGGAGCAATTAGAGACTTGCATTTATCTCGTTTGAGGTCTTTCAATGCAATAAATGAGAGTGACAAAAGATGGCGACGATGACGTAGACGATAACGCCGATGGGCTGTCGAGTCCACCGGTGAACCAGACGAGTGACCCCACCGGTTGGTGAGCGGGCCGATGAATGGGTTGGCCACGAGCTGCACGGTGGCCTTGGACGCGAAGAGCAGGCCCACGCGCACGTTCTCATTCGACAGGTCCACGTTGGAGCCCTCCTCGCATTTGCTCGGCCCCTCAGTCCCGTTCGCGACCTCCGACCTCGTCCCGCCGGGGGTCGGGAGGTCGTGATCCCCCGACGCTGGGAGCGAAGCCGCCTGCGTGCGATGACTTTGGACGGGATGGGTGGGTCGCGACGCGAGCCCTGGAGTCGGAGACAGCGGGGCCTGCGTGGCGTTGTGATTATCGATGGAGTAGAGGTAGCTGGGGATGATTGGCACTGCGGGTGCAAAGGGGCGGTTGCGGTGTAGGGCACAGAGAGGTTTCCAACGTCAATACTAGCACTTTAACAAGGGCACCTAATGAATTATAGGAACGTAGAGTTATTTTTTTGTCAAGTCGCTGCTGGATGAAGGCTTCCCCGTGGCATATTTTTTGCGTTTGTTTGACCATACTTCACCACCCTGGTCAGTGAAGGTTGGGTGAATGAGATATCCCAAGATCGGTTCCAGATATTGCTCCCCACTGATGTTAGCTGTGGCCGGGAATCAAACTCATGTGGCATGATTTGTAGCACAGCGCGCTGACAACAGCACCACCGCTTCATCATGACCTGCACTGATCTAAATCTTGATTTCAAGCTTTCGTGACTGCAGGAATTCATACTCTTTGGGTTTTTTGGTAAAGTACTGATCTAGGCCAGAGGAGATATTATAATTAGACCTCGAGTCAGCTCATGAGTTAAACGTTAGTTCGATCCGACCCTGACGCCTGCTGTATATTTGGAATTGACATGTTCTCCTCGTGCATGCGTGGATTTTTCTTCGGGTCCTCCCATTTTTCCCTCCACATTTAGAATCAACACGCGTTTACAGTATTTGGCTGCTGTAAATTTGCACGCGATAAGCTACTTCGTTGGGCTATCATTTGTGGCCAGGTCGCTTCTGAAAAAGAGCTGTATAGCCGGTAAAATATATTTGTATAGTTCAAGTTGCCCTGAATTAATTTGGTGGTGGTGAAAGAGTTTGAGCCCCCACTCCTTCCGCCCGTGCTGGGCCAATGAGGGAGGACAGATGAAATGTTCTCCACAGGGACGAGATTCTTATCCTGCACTGATGGTGGTAGTGGCAGTAGTGGTGGCGGTCGTGGTAGGGGTGGTGGCAGTAGTGGTAGCAGTATTGGTGGTGGTGGCGGCAGTAGTAGGGGCAGTGGTGGTGGTAATGGGAGTAGTGGTGAAGGTAGTCGTGGTGGTGGCAGTGGTGGTAGTGGCAGTAGTGATGATGGTAGTGGTGGTGATGGTAGTCGTGGTGGTGGTAGTGGTGGTAGTGGTGGTGGTGGCAGTAGTAGTGGTGGGAGTATTAGTGATGGTAGTGGTGGTGATGGTAGTGGTGATGATGGTAGTGGAGGTGATGGTAGTCGTGGTGGTGGTAGTGGTGGTAGTGGTGGTGGTAGTGGTGGTGGTGGCAGTAGTAGTGGTGGGAGTAGTAGTGGTGGGAGTAGTGCTGATGGTAGTGGTGGTGATGGTGGCAGTAGTAGTGGTGGGAGTAGTGGTGATGGTAGTGGTACTGTTGGCAGTAGTGGTGAAGGTAGTCGTGGTGGCGGTAGTGGTGGTAGTGGTGGTAGTGGCAGTAGTGGTGGTAATGGGAGTAGTGGTTAAGGTAGTGGCGGTAGTGGCGGTAGTGGCAATAGTGGTGATGGTAGTGGTGGTGGTGGTGGCAGTAGTAGTGGTGGGAGTAGTAGTGGTGGGAGTAGTAGTGGTGGAAGTAGTGGTGATGGTAGTGGCGGTGATGGTAGTGGTACTGTTGGCAGTAGTGGTGAAGGTAGTCGTGGTGGCGGTAGTGGTGGTAGTGGTGGTAGTGGCAGTAGTGGTGGTAATGGGAGTAGTGGTTAAGGTAGTGGCAAGTAGTGGCAATAGTGATGGTGGCGTTGGCAATCGCGGCGCTGGCACCCACCCACCACCGTGAGCAGCATGTTGTCCAGGAGGAGCGCCAGGGACACAATGACGAGGATGAGCTTCCTCGAGCGATGGCTTTCGCGCATCTCGCTGAACCAGCCGCTGATTGCGCCCATGGCCACGGCACGAGCGGGGTTCCCGCTGCGCCCTCCTGCACGCCCCCCACGTGCGCTAGCGGTGCGCCAGCGGTGCGCTAGCGGTGCACGGCGATGCCGGCAGGAGTCGCGCAGAGCGGCGGGCTGGATCCTCGCGGGCGCTCGTGAGCCTGACGAGAGGAATGTGCTGGGGATTGAAAAAAACAATTATTGATAGCCCACTTTTGTTTTAATTGTCAATTAGTTCACGAAGGCTGTCTTTGCCACGCAAAAGTTTTCAATGAATATAACAATGAAGCTGAGATGATTTTTTACAAAAATGATTTTATCTACAATCAGACACAAACAACTACTCCATACACCATGGGACCTCCTTTGCCATTACCAAAATATGATGATAGGTTTTCCCCTTTTTTCTGGCAACAAAACAGGTGTTGAGATGTTAAAACACCAAACTGAAACCTTTTGCAATGAATCATGTCCGCATTAACCACAATGCTTGTGGTCAGAATGCAAAAAAAAACACACTGATAATTTTTGCATTGTCCTTGAAGCTGATTGGTCCATACCAGAGACAGCTTTCTATTGAGCCTCGTCTCAAACGGTGTAATACCAGAGGACGCCAAAAGGCATATTTTACATATTATTATTATTTTATTATATTTATTGTATCCTGTGGAGATGGGGCAACGGAATCAGGTTCGTGCTATTGTATATGTTGCGTTTATTAAAATTAATGAAATATGAATAAAATAAAGCAAGTTATTTTATTGATTAAAACTATGTTCAAAATATGTTAATGTTAACGTTCTTTCAGTGTAAATGGTATTATACGTGTTTAAGTGCAATTAAAGATGATTATGATTTTTTAAATATATTAATATTTCCGTCGCTTGTGATTATGATGCAATTAGAAAGTGATTTGTATTAGTCTCTCTCGTTGTCTAGGAGTATTGATTATAATTATAATTTATTATAATTATTATAATTGATTCTAATTATCAATCGCAATACTCCATTGGAACCTCCTTTGCCAGTAGCAAAATATGATAATTGTTTTTTTACCCTTTTATCTGGCAACAAAACTGACACCTTTTTTTTACAAGGAGTCATGTTTGCATTGACCACAATACCTGCAGGTCGGAATGCAAACAAAAGAAACACAACTCTGATCATGTAAAGCTGTGTCGGGTGTGGACCAATCAATTTCAAGGACATGATCAGAGTTGTGTTTTTTGTTTGCATTCCGACTGCAGGTATTGTGGTCAATGCAAACATGACTCCTTGTAAAAAAAAAAGGTGTCAGTTTTGTTGCCAGATAAAAGGGTAAAAAAAACAATTATCAATCGTGATACTTTCAATGATTCTTGCTTTAACAATTACCGATTCTCGCTTTAACAATTACGCGTGTAATCACGTCAAGCCGCCGGATTCAGATCTCACTGCAAGATGCAGTTCTCGTATTTAAGACAACAATGCACGAGTTGGGAAAGAAGCACTCGGACCCTTCTTTAATCCCAGCAACTTTAATATCAACTTGCTCCAACATCCAGAACACTTATCATCAGAGACAACGACAGTACCCATGCAAATATACGTACTCATCAATCCGTACTGGATGATCATAAAAGCATCAATGGTCAAATCTCACGATCCCGTGATTAGGCTAATGCATCACAGTAACGCGACGATGCACAATTCATTTGTCACGGTGTAATTTTCGATTTAAAGCTTTCGTGACTGCAGGGATTCATCTTCTTGGTTCTTTCGGTAAAGTCACGTAGAATGGAAATAATAAAATAATAAAAATAAAACATAAGAAAATACAATTCTCACGACGTTTCGGCCACAACGCAAGCAGCCGTCCTCAGGTGAAGAACAGGTCTGTCGGAAAGACAGCGTCTGACAGACCTATCTTGACCTGAGGACGGCTGCTTGCGTGGTGGCCGAAACGTCGTGAGAATTGTATTTTATTATGTTTTATTTTTATTATTTTATTATTTCCCTTCTACGTGACTTTACCAAAAGAACCAAGAAGATTGTCACGGTGTGTGATGCGTGCAAGCTGAGACTCTCCAGTACAGTTACAAATGATGAGCGGGTGTGAAGTTAACATTCCATCTTCTATCTTCTTTCTTCCCGAAAAATACCTCCACGCCCACAACCATGTTCTGGAACGACAGGCTCGACCTGCAGCTGGAGCATGCTGGCTGCGGCCACTGCTGGTCCAACACGCTGCCTGTCAGCCGTCGCATGTCCCCCGCTGTGCAAGCAGCCTGGACGACCACGCTCACTCTGCAGGCCTCTCCACAACTCATGTAATGCCGGTCACTTGCTCGACCATCAACTTTTCCGAGCCTACAGCTTGGACAATATTCCTGTGCACACTCAATGTAAATGTTAAGCACGCCCCTCGGGCATTCGTCCGGTCAATCTTAGTTCACCTTTTGTCTTGGCTGCCTGGATACCTCGTCGCCCATCAGTCATCCAAAGACTTATGTGGACAGATTTTTGTCCCGTATAAGCTGACCCCCGGGTGTGTTGTGTGTGGGTGTGTCTACGGGGAGTGGTGGTGTAGCGGTCAGCGCACTCCGCTCCGAACCTGGCGACCCGGGTTCGATTCCCGCTCACGGCCAACACCGGTGACGATTATCTGAACCGGTTCCTGGGCCTCCCCTAGGTCGACTCAGCCTCAAATGAGTACCTTGTGTAATGTGGGGAGACAAAGGCGGCCGGGCGTGGTGTTAGCCACATACCCCCTAGTGTGCCGTGCCGGCCTTTATAGGTGCTCGCTAACAGTACTTGCCCCTACAGTCTGTTAAGGCTACACGGGGCCCATTCTATGTTGGTCAAACGGCCTCCCTCCGTCCCTCTCGGGGTTGTCTCTTGTTGTCCCCTCTCCCACTGAGGCTGGTCAGCCGAATTCCATTCCCCCTTCAATGCAGCGGCGGTTGTCTGCTCTGGCTATGAAGCAGCAGCAGCAGCGGTGCGCTCCTTTGGCCTCCCTATCGCCTTTGTCGTCTTAAGGGAGGGGTGTCACAGACCCGCGTCACTGGATATAATCAGTCCAAGCCATCAGGCCTGTTGTTCAACTTCTTCATTTGAATTCTAGATTTGAAGCTTTCGTGACTGCAAGGATTCACACTCGTAGTTCTTTCGGTAAAGTCACGTAGGTAAAAAATTAAATAAAAATTTATAAAAAATAAAATAATAAAAATCACGACGTTTTGGAGGCAACACAAGTCTCCGTCATCAGGTGGGACCGTCACAGCCAGATTTGCTGCATCAAGCAAATCATTTTTTACCTACGTGACTTTACCGAAAGAACTAAGAGTATTATTCATTTGAATGCTAATTAGTTTGGCCTTTGTTTACACCGAGAATAGGCAATTTCTCACTTAATATAAAAACACATTTTGAAAAAGGCAGATATACAAGAGTGCGCAGATTTTCGATGGTTCGATACGTCACGAGGATGCGAGAGCTGGTGACAGCTTGGGGGATGACTTCACTCAGCAGTAGATAGATGTTGGCTGATGATTATCATGATCCTGACTTCACTGTACCCACTGGGCATGACGCCCTTTCGAAGGTTGCTATTATAGTTTCACGACAAGTGGTTGCACGGTCAACGAAACGATCCACCGACTTCACACAATCGTGCTGCTTTCCACACGCCACACGCGTGTGTCTGTCGAACTTCGTTCGCACCGTACGTAGCCAACCACGCTCATCGGAGGTGCGTGGGAAGGACTACGAACTAAACAAAAAAATAAGTTCTAAAGAAATTAGTTTTCAATCTAGATTTTAAAACGCACAACTCCACCCGCCCGAACCCACACCACTGCCCAAGTTGTACCCCAGACGCAATACAAACCCAACATGCCAGGAACATCGCAATATTTTTTTTACCAGAAGACATCGGCCCTCTTTAATTAAACCTGCGGCACCAACCTCTCTCCATCAATTAAAACTACCCCCGTGTGGGCTTGAAAGCGGTACACCCCTTTCAAAACACCAGCACGCCCTATACTCAGAACTTTCAACATCATAGCCGGGGGGGGGGGGGGAAAGTCCATCTTGCCTAACTGGAGAAAGACCATGGGGATACCGGCGTAGCACCGTGCTAGCCCACGCGGGCATCCAACACCTGTGCCAGGCACTCCATGGGGAAAGAAAAGGATTCTAGATTTGAAGCTTTCGTGACTGCAAGGATTCATATTCTTAGGTTTTTTCGGTAAAGTCACGTAGGTAAAAAATGAAAATTAATAAAAGTAAAATAAAATAAAAAATCACGACGTTTCGGAGGCAACACAAGCTTCTGTCTTAAGGTGGAACCAGCTATCGTGCTGTGACGGTTCCACCTGAAGACGGAAGCTTGTGTTGCCTCCGAAAACGTTGTGATTTTTTATATTGTTTCATTTTAATTTTATTAATTTTAATTTTTTACCTACGTGACTTTACCGAAAAAACCTAAGAATATGAAAGAAAGGGAGTTAGAGGCCAGGTCGTGGGTTCCTACCAAGTCCTTGCCAAGCCTACAACGAGAGGAACAGTGGAGAGGTCCCTGGGACGGGAGATGGGAACGGGCAGGGGGTGGGGGTAGTGGGGGGGGGGGGCTCCCCCCTATCCTCCACTTCTTACTTTTACTTTAGTCAGTTGAGAGAAGATTGATGCGTCGCCAACTAACACATCAAGCCTCGTGTGTGGTGTTACCTGCTATAATCACCCAGAAATGTCTGTCCGTCCCGCGCGTGACGTCACTCCACATGAGGCCCACCCTCCTCATTAATATTCATGAAGGGGTGTATTTTAAACTAAACGGAGAGGAAAGTTCGAGGTGAATTAAATAATGTATTACGCAAAGTCGCTTCAAATATGACGACGTTTCTTTACAGAAAGTGATGGTAAAAAAATAAATCTACGCAGCACGGTGCTACATCCGTGCGTGACGTCACAGCAAAAGAGCCCCCCCCCCCCCCCTCATTAATATTCAAGCCCGCTTGGAAATTTACGCTAACGCACAAGATGGTCGAGCACTCCACATGCCGCACCCCTCCCCTCGTTAATAATCATGAGCAGGTGACGTCACTCCACATGCCGCACCCCTCCCCTCGTTAATAATCATGAGCAGGTGACGTCACTCCACATGCCGCACCCCTCCCCAATAACCATGAGCGGGT